TTAATTCGTTTTTCTCTTTTATTTGATAATAAGAATTTGATTAGCAATTTCAAATAATTATGATACACAGTGTAAATCTAATATTATTCTCCTAGTCAATTTGACTATTTTTTCCTGATTACATCGACTAATTTTCCTGGTCACTTTAACTATGCTTGAATCTTATTACTTTGACCAGGATTCTATAGTTGGCTCCTCTCGTAACTAGGAAACCTAGCCAATTCCTGGTATACGGGTCCTAGGCATTTTTTCGGTGCAGTATCAAATCTTCATTAACTGCATATAAGGAGTAAATTTAACACAAATTTATTAAAAATAAAATAATAAGCCGCAAGAAACAGAATTTTGAGGGGACACAACTGACAAGGGACACCACTGACATTTTGCTTCATTTCTCATTTTCGAAACAGAAAGACTTTATTTTTAGGTTAAAGTCGTTGCGGTTTTTAAAGTACGTGTAATAACTGAAAATGAGATACAATAATATTTAAAAAATATTAATATTATGAACAATTTTTTGATGGGGACACCACTGACATGGTGTGCTCGACAAAGTGATACTTGCTTTCTGCCACCAACCGTACAAGTTATAGATGTGATAGAATGTTGTAATGTTTTTTCTTTACACTGAAAGAAACTTTGTTACAATATATGATAAACCCGAAAGGAAATTTTAGTATTTTATTTTTCAAACGTAGGACATTCAGGGTTGATATCAAAGATTGATATTATTTTACGAAATAGCTTTTAAAGTAACTATATTCAAGAAATTATAAGTATTATTTCTTATTTTAAATTCAGAATTTTTGAATATTGATAAAAGTATACGAAAAAACAGTTGCAACCAGTAGTGAGTAAGCAGACGCGCCCATTCGTTAATTACAAAATTTATACTAAAATTCGGAACGATTTTTTCGTAATTTGATAAAACTATTAACAAAAAATCAGAACTATAGTATATGGTCGTGACAGTAGCAGACGACCAAACTCTTCGCCAATGTTTACTCCCTTTTTTTACTCAATGATAGACAACAATGGATTTTCTAAATTTTGTTCTTAACATACACACACACACACTACCACATATAAAGCATTAAGAATTCACATTGGCAAACATACAAATACAAATACATAATTCACGATACTGTGGAAATGTGTGAGCTGTCTTATATACTAAACAGACTGATTTTTCTGCGCTTGTGAGATAGGTGAAAATATATTTAAAAATGTTTAAAACCAAAAATAAAAAATCAAACATTGTATTATTTTTTGAAGAACAATTTTTATTTAACACCTTCAAAATAACACTGTTAACTATAGTTAACGCCGTACAGACGTAATGGATCGTAGTGACGCGACGTGGCGGATTTGTTACTGCTCGTTCAGAGTCGGTTAATTCAGGCAAGACTCATTCGTTCAACTTCGGCAAGTTTCGAAAATCTCGTCAATTTTTTCTTTTCATTTTTCGTGCATTTTCATATCAACTTTATCAAAATTTGAAACTATTACGAACTTAAACAGAATTCTAACTACGGAGTTTGAAATATTTGGTTATAATACTTCTTAAAGGCGTATCAGAATTTGACATTTCGAGTTTTAAAACAATCATTTTGAATTTTGTGAAGATTATACTAAATTATCTTTTCAAATATATTATATTTCCTTATTTTACTTCTAAACATTCTTAAAAGTAGTAACGAAAATCCTTACCATACCAAAATGTCCTACACTTGTAACTAAATATACTAAAAAGTGACCCTAAAATATTAAATATTGTAACAAAGTTTCTTTCAGTGTAAGAAGCTATAACATATCACCAATACTATTAACGCTTAATAAGGCAATTATCTGCACTAGGTTATTTAAATAACAGGTATAATATTTAAAATTTTCCATAATTACTTAAAAATATGAAACTTACGGACAGGCGATTTTGATTTTTTTTCTAGCACTGGATCAAAATTATTCTGTTAGCACAATTACTATAGAAAAATATAGACTCTTAGCTGTACAAAATAATTTTTCTGATACTAAAAATGAGAGAATCAACAATTTTTATTATTAGGTAAAGTTCTGATTTCTTATAAGTGCGGACAAGGGACACCACTGACATTTTACTTCTAATTCTTCTGCCAAATTTTTTCGGAGAATTTCTAGCGACTAAGAATTATTAATTAAAGTAGAAGGAGTGATTAAGAAAATTAATTGACTTACAAAACTTTTATGTATGAACTAGTATTCAAAATTATTGGGCAGGACATGAAAATGACATTTTAATTTTAATCACCCATATATATTTCTCTAGAATATGCAAATGATTAAAGTTGAAAGAAAAAATTATAAAAATTTTGAAGAGACTTTTACAAGAGAAAAATAATTTTTAAAAATCAAATATATGCTTAATCAAAAAGTTTACTAAAAGTTTTAAAAGTTTTACTTTTCAGCATCTTAATAGTAATTATAATTTTTTCAATTTTTTTTAGGCAACTTAAATCACTTGCATATTCTAGAGAAATGTATGTAGATCAAATCTTTTCAGAAATCTTAATTCTAAATTAAAACAAGATTAAAATGAGCCTGTGAACGCTGAAAAACGTTAATTTCTTCGGGAGATATAAAAAAATTAGTATAAAATAACTGAAAATGGGGTTTTTCTTAAATATCTTATTGAAAAATTAATATTTTGTTGTTGTTAATAAGTCATTTTTTGCAGAATTTTATACGTTTATTGAAAATAAAAAGGAAAAAATGTTAGTTATTTTATTTTCAAAGTTAAAAGATTTTGAATAGTTATAAAAAAAGTAGCGTTCGCACAATTGAAGGGCTACATAAAATAAGGGGACGAACGCGAGGCTTGGAAGGGATAGTACCAGTCGGGTAGCAGTGACAAGCCTTGAGCCGCTCGCTGCTACCTGACTGATATTATCCCTTTCAACCACGCGTTCGTCCCCTTATTTTATGTAGCCCTTCAATTACCGTCGGTAGTGTACATATATATTTTCACCAGTGTCAAGATCGTCTATAGAGCAATAGCATCAAAAATAGAACAATCTTTATATACAACTGTTAATGTCGATAAATCTTTAATGGCAAAATATAATTGCCAGTGATGGGACGAAGCTATCAGCCCAGGAATGGCACATTATCGGCAAGTAGTGAGCGTAGCGGCGTAGCAGAGTGGTCAGAGAGTCAGGCTTCGGAGTTTAAACATTTGTTCCTGTAGGAACAAATATTGGTGGCTAATATAACAAACTCTTACAACATTGTGTAGTTGTAAATTTTTCAAAACATGACATTTACTATATTCAGAGCTGGGTAAATATTTGAAATGAATCTATTTGAAATACCTATTTGAAATGAAAAATGGCATTTTCTATTTTCTATTTCAAATAGAAATGAAACAACCATTTTGCATTTTCTATTTTAAATAGATTTACAACCTATTTTCCATTTAAAATTCCATTTCCATTTTCAGTACTATTCAATAGTAATGCAAATTTTCACTGCTGAATTAAAACCTTTCAATTAAAGGTCCACCCCCATGGCAGCGTGAAAGCGGAAAGCGTTAGATAATAGGAACTTATGCTACAATGGAAATCTTCTTATTTCCTTTGAATCGAATGTTTTTATTGGCTAAACGCTTTTCATTTTCCTTTTTCACGCCGCCGTGAGACTGGACAGACCCTTAATGCGTTATCAAAAATCAAAGATCTTTTTTGTAAGTACAATACAATCCTTCCATCATCGGCTCCTGTCAAACGACTTTTCAGCCACGCTGGAATGATTTTACGTTCAAAAAAAGGTCCATGGGAGACGACATTTTTGAAAAGCAACCCATATAGCACAACATTTTTCAGAAAGTTTGCAGCAAGTTTGCGGTGCAAAGTTCGGAAGTTTGCATGTCAAGTTTGCAGCAAAGTTTATGGATGTATAAAAATGTCTGCCCGATTTAAAGTTTGCAATGCAAACTTGCTGAAAATTTGCATGGCAAAGTTAAACTTAAATGTCTGCGCATTAGTTTTCTATGACAGTTGAGATACGTTAACGTTGAGATTTTTTAGAAAGTTTGCGGCAAATTATTCTCAAGTTTGCTATAAAATTATTTGTAAGTTTTCCGTGAAAACTTGTAGCAAGTTTGCATTGCAAACTTTAAATCGGGCAGACATTTTTATACGTCCATAAACTTTGCTGCAAACTTTCCATGCAAACCTCCGAACTTTGCACCGCGAACTTGCTGCAAACTTACTGAAAAATGTTGTGCTATGTGGGAATTGCTTTTAAAAGCAAACAAGCATATTAAAATTAAAAAATTTTCGAACTGTCAGGATACTCTAGATCTTATAATAAAAATTTTTTAAAAACCATTTTGCATTTTATATTAACCTATTTCAAATACATATTTTGCATTTTGCATTTTAAATAAGAAACAGACAACTATTTTCCATTTTACATTTTAAATAGGTTTTATGAATCTATTTGGCATTTTGTATTTTAAATAGAAATAAAGAACCATTTTACCCAGCTCTGACTATATTATATTTTGTATAAGGAAAAAAATAGAACAAATTGTAAAACATTATAGTAGCAGTACAATAGCAAATCCTCAAAGAAAAGAATTAAAAATATTTAAATAATATCAAAAAAATATGTAAAACATAATGAGGTATAAGATCAAAAATGTCTCTGAACAATAGAAACAGTGAGCCAGATAGCTACAGAGTAATAATTTTCACGAGTTTAGCATGGAAAATCTCGAAGTAGCGACTTTTGAAATTTAAACTCAACTTGTTTAATCTATATAGGAAATAATTAGATATTTTTTAAGGATTAGAGGTACTTTTTGAGGTTAGATTCGACAGTTTTAAGGTTGTAAATGAATTCTTATTTGGTTTCTAGATCAAGACACTTTATTTTTTGTGTGGCTGGGTAATTAATTCCTGAAATATTACGACATTTTAGAGAGGGAAAATAAAGAAAAAAAGAGAAAGAAAGCAACAAACCTTGTTTCTCGAGTAAACTTGAAGAACTTCGGTCCACCAACGCGTTTCCTCGCGGCAGGTACCCTTGACAAATGTGACGCCTTCTGGAGAGGTCACCGCAAGGCTGTAAGGATGTCCAGTGATATCCTCGGCTGCAGCAACTTCTAGTACTCGTGTCATGTCAACTCTTGCTTGTGGAACAGTTTCCGGCTGTAAGAAAAAATCAATTTCTTCATATTTCTTTTTATTTTTGTTCAATAAATGCGAAGTAATATAAGATAGGTTTTTCACTTCATTATATGTATAAGAAACTTGTAAAAAAATATTAGAATCTTTTCGAAAGACAAACTTGGGTATATAGGTAAGGCGATACGGAAAAATTCAAGAATTTGTGACGTAGAAGATTACTGATGATCTGAATTAATATATTTAAATATTCAATTCGAAACATTTGCAACTAACGCTTTTCTCAAAATCCACACAATCTCATCGGGGAGTTCTTCCAAGCAGATGACGTGATGCAAAACGGTCCTCTGAACAACAAACATCCAAAACGAACTTTTCAAACTTGACCGTTGAGATCCCTGGTAAAAATTTCGGACTAATTCCGGATTAAATACGGACAAATTAGTACGGATTAGTCTGAAAATTGTACGAAAAAGGTCCGAAAATGATCCGCGCTAGTCTGATATCAATCCGAACGAAAACCTGAATCCGAAAACACTCCGGAGTAATCCTGAATGTCTACAAGTTCAGTCCGTTATTAGTCCGCAACAATCAAAATTTATGTCCGGTGAAGAATTCTTCTAAAATAAGTACGGAATTATCCGAAATCAATGGGTAAAGAATACGGAATCAGTCCGCAACAATCCGAGTTTAATCTAGTTAAAAAAACTTATTCCGTAAAATGTCCGGAGAAATCCGAACTATGTATGCAAGAAATCCGGTATTAGTCCGCAACAATTTGAAATTAAGTGTGGCAAAATCCTATTCCGAAACAAGTACGCAAAGAATCCGACATTAGTCCGCTTCAATTCGGAATTAGTGTGGTAAAATTATATTCTGAAAGAAATACGAAACAATCCGAAATATGTATGCTGAGAATCCGGAAATAGTCGGCCACCCGAATCATATTGTATCCCTGGTAAAAATTCCGGACTAATCCGGGTATATTAGTGTGGATTAATCCGATAATTGTACGAAAATGATCCGCGTTAATCTAACGTTAATCCGAGTGAAATTGTGAATCCTAAACCAGTCTGGAGTAATCTTAAATGTCTATGAATTAAGTCCGTAATTATTACGCAACAATCCGAAATTATGTCTGTTAAAAAATTTATCTAAAATAAATACGGAATTATCCGAAATCCGAATTTAATCCAGTTAAAATATTTAATCCGAAACAAATATGGAACAATCCAAAATCTGTATGCAAAGAATCCGGTAATAGTCAGCGGCAATCCGAATAATATCTGATCAAAACACGCCAGTCCGAAAATAAGTCTTATAATAATATGGAACTTATAAATATATACAATCCACAGACAGTCCAAAACAAACCATATTCAATCCAATTCAAAGACTTAATCCGGAATGATTTTGGTATAATACTGAATTTGTATATTAAAAACAATTTGTATTAAATTCAGATAAATTCAAACTATAATTATAATTTCGTATGACAAAAACCAAATTAATTCCGGATTTGATCGGAATAATTTGACATTAGCAAGTTGCGTATTATCAGACTAACTTCGGACTAGATCGGACTAATTCCGGATTCACTGGTTATACACAAACCGCATTGAGTTTGAATTTATCCGGACAAATTCCGAGCGACAGAAACCTGTCCATAAGCAGACTGTTTCGGATTAGCTGCGGATTCACTGGTTAAACCAACCGGATTACTTCTGCATTTACTAGTCGCATATGATCTGACTGACGTCGCCCCGTGCAGAAATTAAAATGTGGGCCTGATAGGGTACTGGACAGTTTTCCCGATCTCTGGTGTGGCTCTGATGGGTAGAGAAACTGACCAGTGCCCGACTAGTGTGTGACGCTGTTCCCGACCAATGCCCTACTTAGGGAAAAACTGGTCAGGGCCTCGTCAGTTTTTCTTAAAATTGCCCCATTTTGTGAGGTTAATTTTATTCAAAAGAAATTACAATAAAATTACTGTAATTAAAAATATTATTATATTAGAAACATAATGAACACAACATATTTATACATAACATAATGAGGTATTATAGTCATTTTGACTAATTTAAAAGTGAAAATGATAAAAATAATATAATTTCAAGAATAGAAAAACTTAAAAATTTTTGAAAAATATAATTTTTGGTTTTATGATTAATTCATTTTTCTTTTGGAGGTTGTCGCTCCTTTCTGCCTCCTTAATTTTATAATATTAATAAAGGTTATAATTTTTGTTTTCAAATGTATAAGTAATAATTAATATTTATTTAATAAATATTTTATTCAAATTTATTAATTATGTTTAAAAAATAGTTATTAAATATTGAAGGTGTTAAATTTAACAATCTCTCTGAATCATTTTCTCACTTTAAGCTAATATTTTCCTGTGGTCAGTTTACCGGTGTACAGTTTAAATTTGTACAGTTTTTAAATTTAATTTAATGATTTTATTTTTTAAATTTGCTTGTATACAGTTTTCCAGGGTGCACTTGAACGTGGGCAGTTTTCCTGTATACAGTTGAATTTTGGGCAATTGATACCGCCCCTTAATTTATAGGATGAATTTATCATTTGGTTTGTATATATATATTATATTATTTTAATAATAATAATTATTTTATATTATTTAATTAATAATTATTAAAATTCATTAAGTATAATTTATTAATAATTGTTTATTAATTATTATTTTTTTAATTCATAATTTTTATTTTTAAATAAATGTATAATAATTAATTATTTAATAACTATTATTATTCGTTATTTATAATTTAGTTGTTATTATTAATAAATAAACTTTATTATAATATAATATTGTACTTAAAGAAAAAAAAATTATATGTATTTTCGTTTTTTAAATATATTACCATAATTATTTTATAAAGTGTTTTAAAAGAACGCGCCTTTTAACACATTAACGCCCAACTCGTGAAAATTCTTTGGTCATTTTCAAGCTACGTAATTATAAATAAAACGGTTGACAATTTATACCAGAGGTACATTTTCCAAAGGTTTTGGATGTGCTCTTTCCGATTCCGGTGTCAAAAATAAATTTCGTCCAAACCAAAATTAAATATGGCGGTTTTAATGTCAAAAAACATTAAAAAAATTCATTTTTTCAAGTTTGACATTTTTTTTCACCTTGAAAAAGTGTAAGAATAAAATTCTATTTTCAACCATCGGTGCGTAAAAATTATACACTTTCGAGAAAAGTAAAGTAGAATTTAAAATTTCAAGATGGCGGACCAATATGGCGTCAAATCTAATGTAAAATTTAAAAATTTTGGGCAATATTCTTCATATTGCCAAAAAGTCAATGAATTCGCCAAAATTTTGTTACTCGGCTGTCGGCGGTTTTCGGTGTCGCTGATTACGAATATAAACTTTATTATTAAAAATTCAAAATGGCGGAACCAATATGGCGGACGAGTTTTACAAAAATTCATCGAATTCACTTGAAACTTGTCACTCAGGGGTTTTTGGGGTCGCTGATTACGAATATGAAATTCATTTTTAAAAATTCAAAATGGCGGATTCAATATGGCGGACAAGAAACTTCAAATTTTATTCTATTGGCTTAAATCTTGTAACTCGGGGGTTTGTAATCAGCGACCCCAAAAACCCCCGAGTAACAGGTTTCAAGTGAATTTGATTAAGTTTAAAAAATTTGTCCTGCATATTGAATCCGCCATTTCGAATTTTTGAAAATAAAATTCATATTCGTAATCAACGACCCCAAAAACCCCCGAGTTACAAGATTTAAGCCAATATAATGAAATTTGAAGTTTCTTGTCCGCCATATTGAATCCTTCTTTTTGAAAATGAAGTTTATATTTGTAATCAGCGACCCCAAAAACCCCCGAGTAACAAGTTTTAAGTGAACCCGGGTAGCAAAATCCAAGTCGCTACCAGAGTACAGATCTGATGCAGACCTGTTATTCTAGATCTGGAACGGATCTGGAATTTTACATGGTCCAAACCAGAAGCAGACTTGGTAACCAATTAAACAGCTCTATCTATATGCAGGTACCAAAACTACTAAACCAATTGCACAAATAATGAAAAGTCGGTAAGGTGAAACCGATTGAGCCCTTGAACAGGTAGGAAAATAAGGATAGCGACGTACAGAAGTATATTAAGAGAAAACCGAAATTTTAACTTTGTACTGCTACAAATTTCTCTTTACTATTTTAATGATCATTCTCTATATTTGAATTAGTTAAAAATAACTAATTTTCAGAAAAGCATATCTGATTGTCAGTTAAAAATAACTGATATTTTAGTACACTCATTTAACTGATTCAATTATAATTAAATAAGAATTATTAATTAAGCCTAATGAGATTAATTAATGAGTAGCTCATAATATTAATTTTTTCATTATATACTATAAAATACCGAATATTTATTCATAACAATAATAATTTGTAATACACTAAAATATTGATAAAATTTGACCAATTTTTAGTTGTTTTTTACTGATAACCATTAATTTTGTCATTAACAATAAGTTAATTTTAACTGATTGCAGAAGTAAAATGTCAGTCATTTATTGTTAGTTAACCCAGTGATTTTTAACTGATTCAAATTTAGAGAGCACAATTAAAATATAATTGTTCTTGTCGTTTCACGAATATTTATATTTTATGACCCTTATAATGCAAAACATTTCCTTCTGTATGCTTTTTAAAATTACTTTACTAAACAGTTGGTTACTTAATGTATCTATTGGACTGAATTCAGATTTATAATTGTTTAACCTAATATTCGAAAATATTTACTCGGAAACAAATCCCTGTATTTACAATAAATTCTATAATTATTACTCTACACAAGTAATTTATGCTTACAAATTAAAAACCGAGAAATCTGAAAATGTACTATATAAACAACTTTTGGGAATTTCCCAAACGTAGCATGAGCGCGTAAAGTAACCCTGAACCGCAGGGGTTCTACCTATCTTTTCTTTCGGGTTTCAGTAAGTGAGAGAGAGAAAGAGAGTCTATTTGCTC